GCGAGCTACTGCCCACCTCTGCTAGTCAGAATATGATGTGTGCCGGTTCAATGGCTCACGTGTCCGTATCAGAGACGTAGGATTAAAATCTGAAAAAATAAAGGCAAGGTGGCCCAGTGGTTAAAGTTCAGAGTACCAAGATTGGCGCAGAGAGGTGCGGGTTCGATCCCAGCTTTGTGCGCCAATTTCTGGTCAGAATCGGCAAGGAGGCCGGGCGGTTAAGCACAGCAGAATTGTAGCAGTGAGTTGCGTGTTCAAGACCGCAACAAGCTGTGAATGTTCTGTGATGTTAAGAATCGGCGACAGGCCTACGGCCTAATGAACGCTGAAACCGTTATTATTATCATTATTATAACACTCGACAATTTGAGTGCGATGCTACCACCGGTAGAACTGGGTTCTATTGCACCAAAGTGTTAAAATAAAATAGTTTATTGCTATTACTTTCGTCAAAATATTATTTGCTTACGATAAATTAGTGTATGGAGCTTCTTCAATAAAATTATGCTCACAAGTTTAAAGCTACAGACAACATTTAAATTTCCTTTATGATTTTTGTACCGCTTCACCCAACAAATTAATAAAATAATATCTCGAAGGACCACGCTGAGCAAACTAATTTTAATGTCATATTGGTGATCACTTTCTCAATAGCTATAGCTTCTACGCTCAATTCAGAGGAAAGTTGTAACCTGTTAGCTGTTATGACAGTCAATGTCAAGGGAGACGTTACTGATTCGAATATTTTTCATGGGTAAATGGTTAAGAAAAGTCGATAATTTTTTAACTTTTACTCATTCGTACAGAACATCAGATTGAGTTAAGTTTTAGTCTCTGTGAACAACAAGACAACATCGTGGACCGGCCATCAGCGCACATTCAAGCACGCGGCTCCTGGCAAGCGGTCGTCGGTGTTTCGATCCTATAGGCAGAGGTGGGCAGTAGCGCGCTACATGTAGCGGCCGCTACATTTTCAGTAGCGGTAGCGGCGCCACATTTAAGCAATTGTAGCGGTAGCGACCGCTACATTTAGAGCATGTAGAGGTAGCGGCGCTACATTTAAGCAATTGTAGCGGTAGCGCCTCCCTACGTTTAGAGCATGTAGCGGTAGCGGTGCTAAATTTAAGCAATTGTAGCGGTAGCGGTAGCGCCCGCTACATTTAGAGCATGTAACGGTAGCGGTAGCGCCCGCTACGTTTAGAGCATGTAGCGGTAGCGCCCGCTACATTTAAGCAATTGTAGCGGTAGCGGTAGCGCCCGCTACATTTAGAGCATATAGCGGTAGCGGCCGCTACATTTCAAAGTAGCGCTGCCCAGCTCTGCTGTGAGTGTAACAACAAGGGAGACAACGTAACGCTCCACAACGATCGAGTGATGCGTTAGAAGAAGTCACCGCGCGCGCAAAAATTAAAGGGAATCACGCGGCCTCAATTAGACTCAAGCGTCCCTGGCTTTACACGGATTTTTACGATGAGAAATTCAGACTCTAATAATTCTGCATTGTTGGTTCTCAATCAGTAATGAGGCATGGGCGGTTAGACAGGATTTAATAAACTCGAAATTGAAACAGTTTGCTTTTGACAAGATATTCTCGCTGGGGATTCTTCTAATTAACAAACTTGATAAGTTTCAACGAGTCGGCGACAGCTTTGTCTAAACTGAACAATGTGCATTTTATTTTCTTACTTAACACTGAAAAAGATTCAATAACTGATAATCTTAACTTTATTGTGGAATAACTCGAAAAGATTCCCCAAGTACTTATATACTTATAAAATAATAACTTATAACTTAAACTAAACTTATAAACTATAAACTAATTTCTAGTTAAGAGTATATCGTCGATATCTTATTCCGTCAAGAATGACCATTAAATATTATCGGAAATAGCGAGTAACGGTGTACAAAATAACCGCGCAAGCATCTACAACTTTAAAGCTGCCTGAACCTTAAATATAAAAATGTCATTAAATATAAGAGACTTTAAAAATAACGGCATCGAAACCTATATTTTTTTAGGCCTCCATTTATCTCGAAGTTTTGCCTCAAATGAGAAACAAAATCATAGGCAAGTTATTTCCGATCATAAGTCTAAGGGCACAACAGCAAAGAAAAAATAAAACACAAAAACTTATGTGCGTCATCATAAGCATCACTATAAGCATCACTATAAGCATCACTATAAGCATCAACAGATGGAGAGGTACATAAGAAAGTACAGATGGAGAGGTACATGTCAGAGGGTCTCCTGAAGGCCTAACTGCATTGATCAAGTAGAAAAAGAGAACATAGGGCTATTCGTTAAAATGACTTGTGACTATTTCAATAACATAAAGCACCATCCAGTGATTCTAGTCAAATGAGACTAAGAGTCAGAGATGGGCAGTAGCGCGCTACGTATAGCGGCCGGTACCATTTCAGTAGCGGCGCTACATTTAAGCAATTGTAGCGGTAGCGCCCGCTACATTTAGAGCATGTAGCGGTAGCGGCGCTACATTTCAAAGTAGCGCTGCCCAGCTCTGGTGTGAGTGTAACAACAAGGGAGACAACGTAACGCTCCACAACGATCGAGTGATGCGTTAGAAGAAGTCACCGCGCGCGCAAAAATTAAAGGGAATCACGCGGCCTCAATTAGACTCAAGCGTCCCTGGCTTTACACGGATTTTTACGATGAGAAATTCAGACTCTAATGATTCTGCATCGTTGGTTCTCAATCAGTTATGAGGCATGGGCTGTCAGGCAGGATTTAATAAACTCGAAATTGAAACAATTTGCTTATGACAAGATATTCTCGCTGCAGATTCTTTTAATTAACGAACTTGATAAGTTGCAACGAGTCGGTGACAACTTTGCCTAAACTGAATAATGTGCATTCTATTATTCTTATTGCATTGAAAAAGATTCAAGAACTGATAATCTTAACTTTATTGTGGAATAACTCGGAAAGATTTCCCAAGTTCTCCAGTACTTATAAACTAATTTCTAGTTACGAGTATATCGTCGATATCTTATTCCGTCAAGAATGACCATTAAATATTATCGGAAAATCTTTCGTTCGAATTACTCGACGAATGAATCGTATATTCTGCCCGGAGACTGCCATCTTCTAGCAGAGAGTCGCCCAGACTTAGTCCGTTGAAAGTCTCGTTGGTGCCCACGGAGTCGGAGCAGCTGTCTTCAGTATCGGTGACGTCGATGACATCGCAGAGACTTTTGTTGCGGGCTGCATTTAAGAAGACGCTGTGCAATGAATCTTTCTCATATCTGAAGGTGTTTTGTATTTTCTTCATTGGCATTGTATGAGTAAGAATACAAGGGCTAGACTGACAGGGATCAGTTCTGTCCTTGCCAATTTTACAGACTGATGACAGTGGAGCGATCGCATTGTATTCGTTAAGGTTAATGGAGCTTAGGTAAGGGTTCGCTTCTTGGTCAAGGTTGCTAAGATTCAAATCAAAAGAATTTCCGTAACTTTGAGCAGAATCCACAGATATTTCCTCTATGACTCGAACAGTGTCATGCTCATGGGTCGAATGCAAGAGCTCGTTAGTTCCAATGGACTGATATGACGATGTTATGTCTTGTGGTACAGTAGATGGCCCCGCAGTGTTCAGATGGTCACATTCACTTGCTTGGCGCATCACGGATGTATCAGACGTGAGATCGAAGATGTTGGCAGTGTTACTCAGACACGACAGCCCGCAAGAAAAATTGAGCGAAGAAGAGACATTTTTGATGTAATCGTGATCGAGAAGAGGCGCAAGCGAAGGAAGTGCGTTGCTTTGTTTGCAGGCAGCAACAGTTTGAGATTTGTTAAGGGAAAAACTAGCTGAAGTTCCGCAGTCAATTGATTGATCTAGAACAAGCGTAGCATAAGACAACATAGAAGAAATAGGTTGAGTTTTTGACCTATCAGATGGGAAAATATTAACATTACGTAACATTTTTTTATTATGACATTCTCGTACGAAAGCTTCTCTCTGCTCTGTTGATCCACTGGCGCTTGCTTCCAAGGCGGTAGGCAAAAAAGCATCTGCATGACTCCCATCAATATCTTCATTGAGAAACATAGTTTGAGTTGTATTTACACCATCTGCTAATGAAGCCAACACATAATTTGTTTTTGGAACAATGGTATTAATTTTTTCCATACTTTTCAAAGACAATTCTGCCTTCTGATTTTGCAGGAAAGGATTTTCTACAAGCTTGATGTAATTCTCACAAAGCGCTCGATTTTCGGAGCATCCTTGACCTTCATATTTCTTTGCGTGAGCAACATCCACAAGCGTCGCTAAATTATCTTTAGCGGCGCGGGAAGCCTTTGCTCGCGTCGGCGCGCTGGCGGCGTCAGATAACGTGGCGTCAAGAGGACAGTTTCGTCCAACTCCATCGGTCAGGATGTTTTGTGGCTCAACAAACTTAGGAGCTAAGGAAGAACTACAACTTGGGAGCAGTGAAGAGCTCTTGCCATATTGAGGATCAGAAGAAGCACCATCTTGAAGCGCGGCGCTTCTCTCGACGCGCTTCATTCTTTCTTTTTCGAGCGTCTGAAGCAGGATAGCGCGCTGCGCCCGCGACTCCTGCATGGCCAAGTGCAGGCGCTTGATTTCTTGCTCACGCTCTGAAATAAAGCTGTGATTAGCACAATTTACAGATTTATTCCTACACATGAACAAACATTCTTACCTGTAGCAAAAAATTACCCTTTACAATAGCAATACAGTTGTAAAATTCAATTAAAAATTTTATTTAGATTTTAAACCCGATTTTTTTCACTCTAATTTCATTTTCAGCCGCCAATCTAAGCCTTCATTTTCTTCATGTTACAAAGAACAGAAGAAGAAAAATCTGGTAGGAACTAAATCAGAACCCAAGTCAAGGAAGCATGAATTCATTCAAATTTCCAGTTTAATCAGAGGATGATCTCCTGCCTCTTGCCATCCATCAGCAATTTTATCAACCGAAATGCTCCGTAAGAACGCGAATGCAAAACGAATGCCCCGAGACAAATGTGTGCACGCATTCATTGAGTCAATATAATCACTCATTCACTCAATCCAAATGTATAAACTGAGTAACAATAGACTGGTCAAATTTGTTATTTTAGGCCTTTGATTTAGTGTGAAATCAACCGTTTTCTGCACGGCCGTAGCCCAAATGGAAGCAAAACGCTGCCCTTCTGACATGACGTTAGCACGGAACAGTTTCCAAGCTTTGCTCTTGGCTAGATTTGTTGTGACCGAATTCGAACCTTACAATACAAATATTATATGACCATACTTAGTGTAGGTTTGTTAATACGTGACTAATTTTTTCTCGGAATATTTAAATATGTAAGGTGATGGAGGAATGTAAGCAATGCTTGCAAGATGAGCAAACTTATTGGCTTCAAAGATTGTATTATAAAAGGTAATTTGCTGGAAATAAGCTCACGCTGGATGGAGGTTGTTTAGTAAATGTTGATTTACCAGGATTAGAAGAATAATAATACATCGCTCTATTGTACAACTTTTGAGTTGACATGAAAAAGCACTTGCTATGCAGTAGGCATATTCAATCGAGCTTATCTTAAACTCGAGCTCGAGTTTACATTTTTGATTAAATTTTGCTCCCCAGAGCAAAATTTAATCAGCAGGGCTAAACTAAAACACAAAAATTGAATAATTTGATATGCATCACCAGGCGATGAAGGCCTCTAACCTGATTCGTGACACAAAAAACATCTAAATTCAATAAAAAATTTGCAAAGTATGTTACACGATTGAAGTTCAAATTGAGATTTATTGAGAATAACGTTTCAACCTCAAGTCGTGAGAAATAAAAGCAACTGAAACAGAAATGTGAACACTTTTGTCTGCGGTCCCCTTACGTGGACGACATTAATTCAACTAAAAATGTATGCAAAACTAAAAACAAATCGTTAATACAGAAAATTTTTAAGCTGGTAATGAAACTAAGGAATTAACAAAACTTTTGCAGACGTTTCTTGGAAAGAGAATAGAAAAAATGGAGGAGAAGTATATAATACAACAGCGAAATCATTAAATGTCTATAGACGCAATTAATAAGCTCGTTGATTGGTCGTTGGAGTAATTAGAGATTATTTGAAGTATAATGTAGATTGTTGATTAAAGTCTGTGACCTGAGCGAGGTTGTCACAAGCGGGCCATGATGTGAACTATGGCCCGTGTGAACTATGGCCCGTGTGAACTATGGCCCGTGTGAACTATGGCACGTGTGAACTATGGCACGTGTGAACTATGGCCCGTGTGAACACTGAAGGGAAAAACAATTAATGGAGGGCAGGAGGGTGTGATAATACATCCTATTAAACACAATAACTAAAATCTATAGCAATAGATAAATTAGAATAAATAAAATATAAAATATGCGTTGAAAAATTACTTTTTAAACTCAACACTTCTAAAGAATACAGTATCTCCGATGTCACACATCTACAGTGAATTTCAAATTTTATTTCCATAGGTATATTAAAAAATTAATTTTTAAATTTTTTTTTTCATTTCCATAGGTATATTAAAAAATTGAATTTTAATTTTTTATTTCCATAAGTATATTAAAAAAATTATTTTTCAAATTTTTTTATTTCCATAAGTATTTAAAAAAAATTAATTTTTAATTTTTTTTATTTCCATAGGTATATTGAAAAAAATAATTTTTAATTTTTTTTATTTCCATAAGTATATTAAAAAAAATAATTTTTAAATTTTGAGCAGCACTGACCAATAAGCTGGGCCCTCAAGGCGGCCACGCTGGGGCGGCCAGTGGCCTCAGTGGCCTCGTCCTCCATGTCCCCGTCGTTGGCCTCCTCAGCGATGCTGGCCACGCAGCTCTCTGGTGGCAGAGACAAGACTGTAGTGCAGCTCTCTCGTGGCAGAGACAAAACTGTAGTGCAGCTCTCTGGTGGCAGAGACAACTGTAGTGCAGCTCTCTGGCGGCAGAGACAAAACTGTACTGCAGCTCTCTGGTGGCAGAGACAAAACTGTAGTGCAGCACTCTGGTGGCAGAGACAAAACTGTAGTGCAGCTCTCTGGTGGCAGAGACAAAACTGTAGTGCAGCTCTCTGGTGGCAGAGACAAAACTGTAGTGCAGCTCTCTGGTGGCAGAGACAAAACTGTAGTGCAGCTC